GAAACCATTTCTCGGTTGGTCAGAGTGCATAGGCCAGGCAGCAATAGGCACACCCATGGTAATACTCTCTATGCAAGAATTCCATCCACAATGACTCATGAATCCGCCTGTGGAAGAATGAGCCAAGATTTCGGGTTGTGGTGCCCATTCTCTTACCACTAGGCCTATTTCTTTTACCCTTTCCTCAAACCCCCCTGGAAGCTCAAATTTTCTAGCTTCCCCGGTAAAGGCACCTCCTCTATCGGCTTCTCTCAACACCCATATGAACTTCTGTTTGCTTTGTTCAAGTCCCATTGCGAGCTCCATGACTTCTCTATCGGAAAATGTAGTTGATGTTCCAAATGAAATATAAAGAACTGATCTCGGAGGTTGTTTGTTCAGCCATTCCAAACATATATTGTTGCTATTCGAGATATTATAGAATTTAGTAGGCAGAATTGGTCCAATTGCCCACTGTTGTTTACTTTCTACTTGTGCCAGCAAATCAAGAAACTCACCTTCAATTACTTTACTTGTATTATGGATATCACCTGATTTAATATCCATATATGGACTCTGAAAATCCATAAAGTTCTTGACTTCATCAGGCAGCGCTCCTTCAAGGGGCGGTAGCTTTTTAAGCAATTCTTCTCCAAGTTGGATAGACTTTCCACTAAATAAGCATAAAGAACAGTACAAAGTGATAGCTGAAATGCAATTAAATATATATGATTCAGCATTGGGAAGGGAAGAAACATCCTGAACAATATATGACATTAAAGAATCATGAACAACAATTACTCGTCTCGATTTTGAGGAGATATCATGTAGAAAGGAAGCCATGGGCTCGCGAAGATGCAAAATTGCATCCCATAATGGCTAATGATGTAATGGGAATTTGCTCAAGGCATTAAAGTCAGGTGGAGGTGAGGCAAATTCAGGAAGTGGAATGTCATGGAAGTGGATTTTGGCTATGTCTAAAGGATTTAAAGCGTTAGCTCGAAGCAAAGCTTGACGATTATGAGTAGCTGAGCCAACATAATAGACAGGAAGATCATATGATGAGGAGATTAAACAGGAAAGTTGAAGAAGTTGATTGAGATGGCCTTGTGCTGGAAATGGAACCATGACTATAGCTACTTCATGGTTTGGTAAATTCTCATAGCTACACATGGAAGTAGAAAGATTGGAGTTTCGTGTTTCTATCGGATCCTCCATGTCTCCTGATTGAGTTTTTTCTCATTGAAGAAGCAGGGGGTTATATGGTAAATGTGTGAAGGTAAGAGGATGATTGACTAGCAAATCCATCTATTTCACATATCTTTCAGATTTGTAACTACTAATTGTTGTACTATTATTTTTGAATTATTGAATAAGAATATGTGGTGCATGACAACTTATTATAATTTTTTGGAAAATTATCTAACTACACATCATTTATTATCATATTTTCTTATTTTCCCTACCATTTCAAAAAATATCAAAAATCCCCTTTTTTGCTCTCATTAATCCTTTTTTCGGATACATTAATTTGAAATCTTCTATTAATGATTTTCCTTCCTTTTTTCACTCCACAAATCTCTCCACAATTACTTTCATTAGGCAGAATTGGTCCAATTGCCCACTGTTGTTTACTTTCTACTTGTGCCAGCAAATCAAGAAACTCACCTTCAATTACTTTACTTGTATTATGGATATCACCTGATTTAATATCCACATATGGACTCTGAAAATCCATAAAGTTCTTGACTTCATCAGGCACAGCTCCTTCAAGGGGTGGTAGCTTTTTAAGCAATTCTTCTCCAAGTTGGATAGACTTTCCACTAAATAAGCATAAAGAACAGTACAAAGTGATAACTGAAATGCAATTAAATATATAGGATTCAGCATTGGGAAAGGAAGAAACATCCTGAACATTATATGACATAAAATAATCATGAACAACAATGACTCGTCTCGATTTTGAGGAGATGTCACGTAAAAAGGAAGCAATGGACTTGCGAAGAAGCAAAGATGCATCCCATAATGGCTGATGATGTAATGGGAATTTGCTCAAGGCATTAAAGTCAGGTGGAGGTGAGGCAAATTCAGGAAGTGGAATGTCATGGAAGTGGATTTTGGCTATGTCTAAAGGATTTAAAGCGTTAGCTCGAAGCAAAGCTTGACGATTATGAGTAGCTGAGCCAACATAATAGACAGGAAGATCATATGATGAGGAGATTAAACAGGAAAGTTGAAGAAGTTGATTGAGATGGCCTTGTGCTGGAAATGGAACCATGACTATAGCTACTTCATGGTTTGGTAAATTCTCATAGCTACACATGGAAGTAGAAAGATTGGAGTTTCGTGTTTCTATCGGATCCTCCATGTCTCCTGATTGAGTTTTTTCTCATTGAAGAAGCAGGGGGTTATATGGTAAATGTGTGAAGGTAAGAGGATGATTGACTAGCAAATCCATCTATTTCACATATCTTTCAGATTTGTAACTACTAATTGTTGTACTATTATTTTTGAATTATTGAATAAGAATATGTGGTGCATGACAACTTATTATAATTTTTTGGAAAATTATCTAACTACACATCATTTATTATCATATTTTCTTATTTTCCCTACCATTTCAAAAAATATCAAAAATCCCCTTTTTTGCTCTCATTAATCCTTTTTTCGGATACGTTAATTTGAAATCTTCTACCAATGATTTTCCTTCCTTTTTCACTCCACAAATCTCTCCACAATTACTTTCATTAATCTAATTTTGAATTTCAAATCTTTTCTTTTTCCAATAAATGATTTCAAGTTATTTAAGAGGTAGATTTCTTTCAATCACTTCAGTTTTTGATTTCTTTTATATTTTTTCATCTTAAAAAATTACTGAATCTTTTACTCTCGGTCTCTTTATGGAAGAGAGGTGGAAAAACCTTGCTAATGCACATAATTCATCTTGGAGTGCATTTGAAATGGTTCCAGAAATTTCTAATGGCGGTCTTGATACACTTCATTCCGTTGGTTCGATCTTTCAGTTTTTTGGGCTTACTTTCAACGTTTCTCGCTTATTTTGATTCTTAAATTAGTCTTTTTAGGCTTACTTTCAATGTTTTATATGTGATATAAGTGTGTCTCGGTGTTAATGAGCATGTTTCTTACTCTTCTCCACTTAACTATTTAGTTCTTTTGTGCAACCAGTTTTGAACCTATGATGTGTAGGTCGTATTTGAGGATTAAATGTTCTATAGATTATAATTATTTAGACATTCTCTCGAGTCTAGGAGGGTTGTTGGTACACAGGTCGAAACTCGGTAGATAATGAGCATGCTTCTTTGTTCTTCTCCACTTAATAGCAAAGCTTTTGTCTACAACAGGATTTGAACACTGGACGTGTGCTTAACCTACACATTATGTGTTATGCTCTTACTACTAGATCAGAATTGTGGGGTAGACATCTTCTTTGACTCTTGACATATTTACTAAGGGTCTCAAAAGAATATGAAAAATTACCTGAATTGACTCTTATCATATTTTAGCAGTAGCCTATTCATTTTGAATGAGTGGCTAGAAACTAAAAGTACAAAAAAAGATGAGTTTTTTGAAAAGTTAAAAGGTGGTAGGGTAATGCCTCTCATCCACTTGTTTGGTGGCTTTAAATGAATAAAAGATAGAGTTATAAAATACACATTCAAACTATCACTTTTTCGCAAGTTTCATGTCTCAATTATCACTCTTTTTTTTATTAAAACACACATTGATACTGAATTGATCTATATACGTCTATTATCAATTGGGAACAAAT